TGGGCATGGATTGGCTGATCAGATTTGGGGCTGTGATAGACTGCGAGCAGTAAATGGTGACAATTCGAGATCCTAGTGGGGGGAGTGCTGACAGTTTATGGCGAGGGAACTCGAAGTGGGTCAGCGTTCTGTTCGGCTACCAGAGCAAGACAGAGTTTGTAGCTTATGTACTGGATACGAGGATTGATTCGGAGAGACCGAGATCAATTGGCGAGGTTGCGATAGTGTGCGAGTTCCCAAACGTTTTCCCCGAGGAGTTGTCGGGTGTGCCTCCCGAGAGGCAGGTAGAGTTCTATATCGATTTGGTTCCGGGGGCAGCACCTATCGCCAAGGCGCCCTATTGCCTTGCGCCTCCATAGATGCAGGAGTTATCCTCGCAGCTTCAGGAGCTGTTGGGGAAGGGGTTTATTCGGCCGAGTAGCTCGCCGTGGGGAGCGCCGATTCTTTTTGTCAAGAAAAAGGATGGTTCACACTGGATGTGCCTTGATTATCTGGAATTGATAAAGTTAACGGTCAAGAACCGTTATCCATTGACGAGGATTGATGATTTGTTCGATCAACTTCAGGGTGCATCTAGGTTTACCAAGATAGATTTAAGGTCTGGATATCACCAGATGAGGGTGCGTGATGAGGATATCCATAAGACAACGTTCAGGTCTCGATATGGGTACTATGAGTTTGTGGTGATGCCTTTTGGGCTCACCAATGCACCAGCAGCGTTCATGGATCTCATGAATAGAGTATGTCGGTCGATGTTGGATCGATCGGTGATCGTGTTTATTGATGATATTCTAGTGTATTCTAGATCCCGAGAACATCATGAGTAGCATTTGATGGAGATCCTCGGGGTATTGAGGTCAGAGAGGCTTTATGTCAAATTCTCCAAGTGTGATTTTTGGTTACGAGAGGTCCAATTCTTGGGGCATCTTGTTAATCAAAATGGGATATTGGTCGACCTGGCCAAGATTGGGGCAGCGATGAGTTAGGAAGTGCCGAAGTCCGCCACGGAGATCAAGAGTTTTCTGGTGTTGGCTGGTTATTATCATAGATTTATTCAGGATTTCTCCAAGATTGCAGTGCCACTCACTAGGTTGACCCGGAAGGGTGTTGCTTTTTCATGGGGTCTGGAGCAGTAGACCTCGTTTGAGACTCTTTGTCGGAAGTTGTGCGAAGCCCCTGTGTTATCCCTTCCAAAGGGAGTTGAGGATTTTCTGGTATACTGCGATGCATCGATATCAGGGTTGGGTGCAGTACTTATACAGAGGGGGCATGTGATAACATATTCGTCAAGGCAGCTGAAGCCTCATGAGGCTAGGTATCCCACTCACGATCTGGAGCTGGGAACGGTAGTGTTCGCCCTCAAGATCTGGCGCCACTATTTGTATGAGATTCGGTGTACCATTTACATGGACCACAAGAGTTTGAAGTATTTGATGGATCAACACAACCTGAATATGCGACAGAGGAGATGGCTGGATGTGGTGAAGGATTATGATTGTGAGATCCTATACCACCCGGGCAAGGCGAATGTGGTAGCCGATGCCTTGAGTCGGAGAGCAGAGCGTGTTTCGATACGAGGTATGTGTAAGAGAATGATCGTGAAGACTCCGGTGTTAGATACCATTCGTGAGGCTTAGGCAGAGGCTGTGAGACCGGAGAACCGCAGGAAGGAACGAGTGATTGGGAAGCTATCTGAGTCTGTGACTAATAGTCGAGGGCTTATGACTTTTCATGGTCGGATCTGGGTGCCGTTTATTGGCGGGGGATGCAGTGTTTTGATAGAGGAGGCACATAGATCGAGATTCTCGATCCATCCGGGGGCCACTAAAATGTATTTGGATATGAAGAGAAACTATTGGTGGCCTTGTATGAAGAGAGATGTTGTGTGGGTTGTAGAGAGGTGCTTGACTTGTCGTCAGGTTCAGGTCGAGCACCAGCGTCCGCATGGCAAGTTGCAGCCACTTGAGGTTCCCCAGTGGAAGTGGGAACAGATTTCTATGGATTTCATCACCAAACTGCCAAGAACCCCAAGGGGTGTCAATACAATTTTCGGTGATTGTGGATCGATTGACGAAAATTGCTCACTTCCTTGTTATCAGTGAAAGTTCTTCCGCAGAGAAGTTGGCAGAAATGTATGTGAAGGAGATGGTGTCTCGGCATGGGTTGCCGATTTCGATTGTGTCAAATCGAGATGTACGCTTTACTTCCAGGTTCTGGAAGAAGTTTCATGAGGAGTTGGGTACGGGGTTGCATTTCAGCACTGCTTATCACCCTCAGACCGACGGTCAGAGTGAGCGAACTATCTAGACACTCGAGGACATGCTTCGGGCATGTGTATTAGACTTCAGAGGAAGTCGGGACACGTATCTGCCTTTGGCTGAGTTTTCCTATAACAACAGATACCATTCGAGCATCGGTATGCCTCCCTTTGAGCTGTTGTATGGAAGGAGGTGTCAGACTCCCATTTGTTGGGGAGAGGTAGGACAACGGGTGATGGGTAGTACGAAGATAGTACTCCAGACGACTGAGCAGATTCAACAGGTCAGGTAGAGTTTGCTGACGGCCTAGAGTTGCTAGAAGAGTTACGCTGATAGGCGTCGCTCAGAGCTCGAGTTTCAGGTTGGTGATTTCATTCTCCTGAAGGTATCACCTTGGAAAGGTGTGATTCGATTTAGGAAGAGAGGCAAGTTGGGACCTCAATATTGTTGGATTAGTGTCTAAGTCCATAACTATTTTTGGTATGTACTTGACCCGATGGTGCATGGTCCTTTTGGGTTGCCTTCACCAAAGCAACTTGATAGGATGAATTATGGAGAGAAAGGATTAAATATGATTTATTAATATATTATGAGAATAATATATTAAAGGAGAAATCATATTGTTTAATTAATATTAGTCAAGAATTAATAAAAATTAAGTTTGTGACTAAAAGATATTAATTAAACTTAAGGGACTGGAATTGTAATTATAAGATAATTGCAATTGGGCTATGGATTACCTTATTATATAAGGTTAGATGAATTCTATGGGGAAACCCATTAGAAATCGACCAAGGCTTATTAAAGAAGGGTCCATGGGTTGCTTAGGGCCTAAGCATCCAAATTAGGGTTTCCTAGTTGAAAACCCTAATAGCCTACATGTATATATAGTACCCTTAAGCCCCAAAAACGTGGTGAACTTGTTCTCTAGGGTTTCCACACGTTTTGGGCAGCCTCCTCTCTCCTTATTCTTCATCCTCTTGCTCTTGGTGTTTGTGAACCATTAGAGGAATGACATTTGTGACTCTAAGCTTTCTAAAGTCATTACAAGGAGGAATTGTGATTGTTATTGCTACATAACAATCAAGGTAATATCTTAAACCCATTCTTATGTTAATATTGATTATCATATGCTAGATTTAAGGTTTATAATCTTGGATGAATTGCATGTACAATAGAGAAACCTAGATCCAAGCATTAGGGTTTGTATGAGCACATAGGATGTTCTTATGGCTAAAACCCATCAGATATATCGGTCCATTGGGTGACAGCTAGGGTGGGCAGAGTAGCGTATCGTTTGGAGCTACCTGCCGAGATGAGTCAGATTCATGATACCTTCCATGTGTCTCAGTTGAGGAAGTGTATTGTCGATGAGTCAGTTGTGGTTCTGTTGGAGGACATTCAGGTGGATGCGAGCCTGATCTATGTTAAGAGGGCCGATCGCGATCCGAGATAGGAGAATCAAGGTTCTGAGGAACAAGGAGGTGTCCCTGGTTCAGGTCCAGTGGCAACATCGGAAGGGGTCCGAGCTGACTTGGGAGCCGGAGTTAGAGATGCGGGAGTAGTATCCAGAATTGTTTGTGGAGCGAGACTTCGAGGGCGAAGTCTGATTCTAGTGGGGGAGAATTGTAACATCCAGATTCCCAGGTATCTCATTTTAAGTATTTTTATTGAATATTAAAGAGGAGCTCAGTGAGTAGGCGCTCAGACTCGCCGAGTGGGATCGTGCATGTGTTAGTCTGATTTAATGGAGGACTCGGCGAGTCCATACGTGGATTCGGCGAGTCCATGCTGTTTAATGAAACCCTAATTTCTCGGGTTTGGGGCCTATTTAAGGACCCTTATAGCCACCATTTGCGGCTACCAGACCATTGAGAGAAACCCTTATAGTGCTTAAGTGTTTATGAGAGAGAATAAGCCATTATTGGACCTTTGTGGGTTTGTTTTGCAAGAAGAAGTTGATTCCAGCTTAGAGGAGGCCAAGGAGGTTGCTTATTTGTGGATTGCAAGCAAAGGACATCATCCTTGAGGTAGCATATTGATCCTTTTTCTGTTTTGTTAAAGAATCCATGGATATAGGGTTTTCTATACCCTTTATTGGATTGATTTGTTGGGAATATGATCCCTTATCATGTTTAGACATTAGATCTGGATCCATAGTGGTCCAGAGAACCTATTCCATCTTGCTTTATGAGGAGTTATGGAAGAAATGGACTTAGGATGTTGTGTTTGGGGCTAAATCATCAAGTAGTGTCATTTGGACGTTGCATGAGCATCAAGTTTGAACCTTTACGTGATTATTGATCTTGGGAAGATTAAATCTATGGATTAGAGGAACAAATTGATGGGTCTATACAAACAATCCTATGTGTGCATGCAACCCTA